TACGATATCGCCATTTATTAATAAAATATTGTGTATCGCGTACAATGTGCATATATCAGTAGCGAGAAATATTTTTTCATTAACCTTTCGCCGGTCGCCAGACTGAAGATAATGTTGTATTTTTCTTCAGCATTGTTACTAAGCAAATAAAAATTCTTAATCATTGTAGTTTATGTCTTACAAAGAACAGGATACACTTAATAAGTTTAATGCTCGGCCTGGCCTGGCACTCTGTTCTTTTTAATTAAAATCGAGATTAAAGTACATTAAATTATAATAAATTTCTTGGATTTTTTTATGAGGCGATTTCTGCTACATGTAAGTGGAATTTTATGGCTGGAAAGGAAAGCTCTTGCACTTTCAAAGGTAAGCTTAATCATATTACCTACTACGATTCTTTACACTGAACAAAATATTTAAATTTATTAAAAATAGTGTTCCAAACTGTACCAGCATTGTAAATTGTTACGTTTTTTTAAAGTTTTTATCACTGATATTTTTTTGATAGATTGAAAACATACAGGCTGTAAATAAATAAGTATAAAAAAATTAAGGGATTTCTGGATGAAAATTAAGAAAGTTTTTCGTATAAAACAATATTACTAGTTTTTAGTATATAAAAATGAAATACGAGGTGTGTTCAGAAAATGACTGAACTTTATATTTTAAACTTTATTATTTTTTATACATTATTGGTATCCTTGTCTTCTTCAAAGTACTCCCTTCCCCTGTTCACATGCTTTTCCCAGCGATGTTTCCATTTTGCAAAGCAGTAATTTGAAGTGGCTTTTAAAGTCTGTGACGAATTTGCTTTGATGTCGTCAATAATCTGAAAGCGGCGTCTTTTCAGCACCGATTTTAATTTTGGAGATAAGGAAAAATCCTGGATCATTTTTTGATATTTTCCTACCGTTGCAAAGGATAGAGTAACCATCCCCTCAAATTATTTTTTACGTAAATTTTTCAATTACCAGTATGGTAGTTTGAAAATCCGCTTATTGAGATATATATAGATTTGAAATTAATTTTTATTGAAATATTTTATTTTTGCGTAGATGTAATAGTTTTCAAGCAAATTTTGTAATTTTGATATACAGGGTGCAAGAAGTTTGACTGCCATTACTTCAGCTTGAGATCGAGTAATCATAATTGAACAAAAAGTTGTTGTATATTACAGGGGCGGAAGATTAACAGTTTTCAAAATACACCGAGTATTAATATTGGGGAGTTTCATCACAACGTGACAACAGCGCTTAACCTAACTCTACACAGCTGGTGCATACCACGTGTGTACGCGGCAGACTTGTCCTACGTAAAAAATGTAATCAACTATTATTGTGAAACATTTAGTAAATTTCAAGACAATTGTTTTCCAGCTTTTAAATAAATAAAATAAAATGTATCGATTTTGTAGTACGAAGATAGTGTTGTCCTTAAATTCTAGCTCGAATTTTAGTAATTATGAGTCTCTTAAAACAGGAACTTTTAATCAAATTATGAATTTGAAAAATATGTAATTAAAGTAGGTACCCAAAGATTCACGTCATCCAAATACATACCAAAAATAATTTAGGTACTTACCAAAAGGCAAAATTCAGTAATTTTTAAACGCACAAGTACAAAACAAACTACAACATATGCTCAAAATGTCCATCACCATTTTCGATGCACGCACGACACCTTTGAATCCAATTTTCGCGCACTCGCTGGAAAACACCTCAAGAAAAGGAAATAGCGGTACGCAAACAAACACTTAGGCACGGTCCAAGTCCAGATACCAATTGAATTGCGTAATACTGGATAGTTTAGTACCTCATGTTATCCGCCCAACCGTTGTCACATTGCTCGATATGAATTTTATCGAATTTTAAATTTATTACAACGCTAATTATTTTTTAGAATTAAGCATAAAGAAATTCAAAAAAGTGATAAACATTGTATTTTATGGTATTCTATGCACACAATTATGTCAATATTCCTCAATTAATGGAACTTTTGTACATCAAGATGAAGACTTTCATAATTTTTTTCTCGGAAATGGTTGAGTTTAGGACCTATGTCATATAAGGCTTTATTTGTTTATTTTAATGTATTATATCGTCAGTGAAAATTAAGGCAGTCAAACTTCTAACACCCTGTACATAATTACCATTACAGTACCAAAAAGTTATACAGTTATGCATCATGCAATTCGAAAATCAGCACCCGCATTATGCGACAGTTATAACTTCAATATTTTTAAACAATGAAAATGATGGAATAACACATTATTAAAATTGTCGTTATATTTTCGATGATATATAAAAAAAATTTAATTTGAATGGATAATTTTTGAGAAATTTTGAAAAAAAGATATAGTATGAGTAGGTAAGATCTTTTTACTTGCAAAACAGAACGTAATCGTTAGAGGTAAAAGGCATATAATTCAAAAATTAGAAAGAAATTTGTGAATTTTAGCAGTTCCAAATGTAAAATTAAGACATTTATATTTTCACTTTTATTAAAATTTATCGCAAAATTCAGCATAGTAAAAAAGACTCGATTATCTTAAAACTAACTAACATCAGAATGGTCTGTAGATTTTACAGTTCAAGGCAAGGTATTGGGTACAATTACGCGTCAAGCGACGATTAGTTATATATTTCAGTTAGTTGAGGTGGGGATGACGTTTATAACCAATAACCTTATACGTTCCTATTTTCGTCGTGTCGCATAGATTAGCATTCCAGCATATTTGTACTCTTTCTTGCCCCCAACGCGACAACTCTTTCAAGGTTATAATTTCGGGCTTCTTGGTATGACCTGATGTACTTTTTAGTTCCAAATAAAAAATGTACTCTCGTCAAAATTCGCTAAGCCATCTCATTTTTGAGAAAAAGCTTTTAAATCTGAGGTGCGAGTTTGTTCAAGTAGACTTTTGTTTAACTTTTACGGACTGACAAATAATATCGCTTAATTCCAAAAACTCAGTTAAATATTTGTGCAATTCATATTAAAAATATAAATTAAAGGTGAACAAAGAAAAACCAAACTGTTACAGCAGATATTAAAATAATTATAGCTTGACCAAATCCAACCTAAGTAGATATGCATGTGGACTTTTGTTCTTTAACAAAGTATGGTTGGCACAGGGGAGTTTTGTTTGCGATAGTCAAACATGGATTATTTCTAATTTAAAACGTAAAGGACACTAAGAACAAATTCAACAGTCTTTTATGGCACATCTTTTTTGTTAAATCTTCGAGATTTTGAAAAAACGCAGTTTTTTTACGCTACAATCTTTAATTTAAAAAGTTAAGGATACATTAAACTAATTTTTGTTCATTATCACACTAAATAAAATATGTTTTACGATTTAGGCGAAATATTAATAAACAACTCATTGATGAATAGTAAATTATTTAAAAACTAAAAAAATGAAACTTTACAGTAGAGCTTCCCAAAAGAAGCGCCTATCTATAATGTCATTTACCTTTGGAGATATTGGCAAAATTCTTTACGCAAAAGTCAACTTATATATTCGAAATAAAAGACGAAAATAGATCGTAATTTATAAGGAAATATTGTGTTATTTTGTTACGTTATTTTTGTTTTGTTACGATTATAATATGGAGATAAAATAATACAATTTTCGTAGCCTTGATGAATGTTTTGCTGAAAATATTAATAATATCGAACTAACCAAAACCATAGGAAAGTATTACCCACCATGTTACTAAAAAAGAAAAACATTCGGGCAAGTGTCAAACGACATTTCATTCAGTGTGTCGTGCAAAGAAATGAATATCGAAATACATATGTTTCTTTGATATTTTGATGAAAATTTTAAAATTTTTCACAAAGGATGATTTTTTATATCAAAATGTGTTCTACGTGTTTCCGATTTCATTTCTTACCAAACATATAGTCTATGTTGTGTACCCTTTCTAAAGTCTTTACTAGGGTTTCTAATCAGTTTAAATCCATTACTCAACAATGTATTAATGTAGTGCCAAACAATTCTTATATATTATCTACTTTACTACTTTAAATTGTGCCACTACCACTTTCAATCAAACAGATCCATAAATGGAAGTCAGTCAATGAGATCAGTCTAATCCCTGTTTATAAATAAAAAAGTTTATTATTCATGGTAAATAGGTATAGTTTAAAAGTTTATTTCTATATACCTACCTATCTCAAGAACTCCCCGTGCAAATTTCAATTCCTCTACGGTCTACACCGTCGAAATGGTAATTTTAACCTCTTCAAACGTGAATTTTTTTGAAGTACCTACCTAATGAAAATCCACCTCACCGAGCATTTTCCCATTTTATTTTTATTAAATCGTTTCCAATTAAAAAAGGTGACAACTATTGAGTTTTGCAACATAAATTATTGTACTTACCTTATTTTTTGCCTATGAAGTTTAAAAGAAATAAAAATAACTTACCTACATTTTACGTTTGTATGAACCCAATTCGACACTTAGGGTCTTTTTCGAAAGATAAAAAATATTTAATAGAACCAATGTTAAGGTGCTTAGGGCTGATGTTATCGGACAAAGCGTTTATACACAAGAAACTTCGAAATTAAAAACCGGGGGAGATAAAGAGTCAGGATTCTACTTTTGCGTGGGAATTCCCATTTCCCCTCATTCTCTTCATTTACAATATTTAATAGATGATCAATAAGTACTTAGCTAAATTGCCATGAGTTTTCCTAAACCTTGCTTTTAATTTTAAAGCAATTTTATTTTTTGAAGTCTATTTGAAATTGATTTAAGAATAATTTAGTATATTTATTTTCCTCTATCCTTGTATCGTTCACTTCTGATAAAACGTATAGTGACTTCATTGCTTCACTGTATAACAAAAAGCAATATTTTAAAATTATCCATGTAGCTAGCGCCACCTATGTGACAATAGATTTATTTTTACAAATTCACGAAAGTTGCCATTTCAATGATTTTGTAACTTTCCTAGAAATTCTTGACAGGATAGGTTAAATTTAATAATGATGTTATGAGAAGCACAGCTGATTTTGGCAAATAAAATTATCGAATAATCCAGTACTATGTTGCTTTACAAATGTCTATTTTTTATTGCAAGCTTATTTTTATCAATGGAAAATTTTTGGTAAGTCAATTTAATTCGTTTTTATTTACATAAATGAAATTGCTTTGTTTTATTGAAATACAGGTCATTTGTTATCCAAAACAAAGACTGCAAATGTTTATATTCATTTAAAATTTTGTGTAACTTAGTTTATATGTTTCTTATTCTCTTTTATTTATTATTTTAGTGTTTCACAATCAGTTAGAACAAATGGACAAACACCGGATTATGACTGGGATTATATATTATACTCTCAGCGTTGGCCTATAACAGCTTGTACTGAATGGGAAGAAGCTAAACAAGAAAACACCTGCAATTTACCAAAAGATAAAAAAACATGGACCATACATGGTCTGTGGCCAACAAAAACAGGAACAGAAGGCCCTTTATTTTGTCCCTCAGCTATACACTTCGATCCTAATGCTTTAAATCCGATAATGGATAAGTTGAATTCATACTGGGTAAATATTGAAGCAAATACAAAACCTGATTCATTCTGGAAACATGAGTGGGACAAACATGGAACATGTGCAATAACTTTGCCTGAATTAGATAGCATTCAGAACTATTTCCAACAAGGGTTAGACTGGAACAAACAGTATAATCTGTCGGATATTTTGACTCAAGGCAAAATTGTTCCTAATACAGAAGGATACACGATTGACCAAATTTTTAATGCTATAAAGTCATACACAAAAAAGGACCCCATGATCCAATGTGTCGTAGACAGAAAATCAAAAGAGTCAATGATCAGTGAAATTCGTATTTGCTTCAATAAAAGCTTGGAAGTGATAGATTGTGACCCAAGTAACCCGGTCGGCAGAGGTCTAGAAGCTATCACTAACTGTAATTTGAAACATCCGGTAATGTATTTTGCAGAGATGCCAATTAATAGAATTTCTTACGAAATGGATTACGTTGATGATGCATTCAAACAGCACTTTGAGGAACAGATGTATTATATGAGTATATACCGGCTTTTGAGGTTCCTTATATGGTTTACAACTTAAAATGGAATTTCATTTAGACAATTTTCAGATAAGTTGAATTCATTTGTACTATAAATAATTTTAGCCAAAATGAAAAAATAGCCAACATTATCGGTACAGTATTAACTTTGAAGTGGTGTTACTATTCTATTCCATATATTAAGAACTTAAACACATCATATCACCGTTTAGTATTTAATAACTGGAACATATTAGGAAGAATTTTAAAATTGTTTAAACTTTTATACAGCTATTCTTTAGTCCAACATATAATCATTTCACCTATCCTGGGACCTAAAATTTATAAAAATCTACTCTTGATAATGTGTGTTAGATGTTAGTTCTAGATATTTCTGCTTGTTATTTTCTGGTTGATTATTATCAAAATGAATTATAATACAAAACAAATCACCTTTTGCAATGATGTTTATCATGGTAATATAATTTAAAAAAACATTGACTATTGATAAACTGATTGCTTTATATTTATTTCAAACCGATAACAAAGTTTGAAGTTTATTAAAATACAGAATGTGTCGCAAATAACTACAGTTTGTGAAAAAAGTGATAGGAAACGTAAAAATAAACATTTTGTGTTGTCATTCTCACGTGGCAAAATGTTGCTACTAGATTACAGGTAAAAAAATATATACAGGGGAAATGTATTATTAAATTTGTGGATTTAGAAAAATAAAATAAAAAACAAACAGTAAATGACCGTACAAGGTGTTCCTTATATAACTTCTTAGCCTATCTCAAAACCAAAACATTAACTTCTAGAAGCATGTTTTTTAGTCTTCTTGAGTAATAGTATATTACGTAATAAGTGTTGTAAAAAGCATTTTACGCACGAATTGAAAAGTTACGCACGACGCCGCGTAGCGGCGAGTGCGTAATTCTATGAGTGCGTAATTGCATTACACCACGTATTACGTACTATACTTTACCTACGACCACTACTTTAAATACTTAAAAACACACCGTCTCGATCAATGTAAGATTCCTATTTTATATGGTAAAAAAATCGCACGGCTTGGTAAAAAAATCGTACAGTTTTCCTAGCAACCGCCTAGCAACATTCAATACATACAGTATTGTATTGACCGTTGCTAGGCGGTTGCTAGGAAAACTGTGCGATTTTTTTACCATACGTAATGGGAATCTTACATTGATTGCAGACGGTGTTTTTAAGTATTTACAGTATTGGTCGTAGGTAAAATTATAAATACCATTTCTTATTGCTGTGATATAGATGACACTAATACAAAATAGTGAAAGGGGGTCTCTGTGAAATACTTTTAAAGTTTGATCAATTTTTGGAACTTTGCTGATGATATTTGAACCCATAAGTAATTTTTTAAAGCAAAAAAAAATTCAAAAAGTAACTACCTATAACCTCAGTTAATATTGAGTTACAGGTACTTCGGAACTTTTTTCTCATTGTCATGTCAAAACAAGTTTAACTTACAGTTAGTTAACTATAAGGTTAGAATGTGATTTGTAGCGATTAAAACGTACCGACGCCAACACATTCTAATCTTCTAGTTAGTTAACTTGTAAGCTAAACTGGCTTTAATAATTTGACCCTTAAAATGATAAATTTATAGATGTAGGCTAAATTGCAAATGCAGTCTTTTTATAAAATGCCTAGGCGTTTTATAAATTACTAGGCAAATTGTAAATTGACGTGTAAATATAACTTTTTTACAATTTACCTGAAAATTTTAGGCGTTTCATAAAATATCGAATAGCTATAAGTCTTACTTATGTAAATGCATCTTAATTTTCATTTTCTTTAGAATATGACTGACTTTCTCCAGTCATTTTGTAAATGACTCAAAATCAATCATCATATATTCCCATTGGTAATATGGACTCACACTATTTCATTTATTTTATTGCTAATTTGTACAATATTGTGTATAACTAAAAAGTATTTTTTAATTCTATATGGCATGAAAAAATAAATGTTAATCCTTACATTTGAGTTTTTTAACAATAAGAGTTCTAAATTTTCAAAGTTTAAAATATGTATTATGTTACTTATTTGAACAAACTCCGTTCTGGGTCTTCTAACATCTTGAAATCCTAGTTTTTGAAGTGAAAATAGCAAAACAATACTGTTAATTTAATGTTTATTTATATAATGTCATTTCACTATAAAAACTCATAATATCAAGTGGAAAACTAACCTAGAAACTAGAAAATTCATAATCCGCGCCTGCCTCACAATTCGCCTAACTCGAGAGCAGTTTCATTATAATACGCCTGAATATGTTCTGATTATTCTAGGCGCAATGTAAAAATATTAGCTTTTGCGTTCATTTTAGAATAAGACAGCTATTCGGTGTTTTGTAAAACGCTTAAAATTTTCAGTCAAATTGTAAAAAATGTATACACACATCATTTATAATTTGCCGTCATTTATAAAACGCTTAGGCATTTTATAAAAAGATGAATTTGTAATTAGCCTGCGACATAGGCACAATAAAATAACATTTTTTAGGTTTTCGAGGTAACAGGCTGGGGAATTTTATATGATGCACCTTGTATATTTAAAACAGTATATAAAATTTATATGTATTTTGTGTGCCCGATTTTCTAAATTCTCAAATTTAACAAGAACTTGTTTAGAGATTTCTTCTTAAATAAAATATATGTATTTTGTAGTCTTTAGTATTTAAGTATGTACAAATTTATACCTGATGTAAATTTATGAAAATTTAATTGTTACTCCCTAGAAAGTAACATTCTAAACTCAGATTTTTAATACCTGTTATACATACGTTTTTAATAAGCACGGTTTGGCAAAGAATGCATCAAATAAGCTTTTAGGTACCTACCTACAAAATTTTATTGAAAAAGAAAATTAGCAATTTGTGAAATTTAAAAAACAAAATATGAATATTTTTTATGAAGTTAAATAGAATACATTTTTTATTAAAAATGATTTAACAATGTAGTACCTTTAAAAAAATTCCTCTCTTTGATCTAAACAAAAATTATATTTTCATAGACTTACTTTAGATATGTGCCCACAAAAAAGATTTGTACTCACTTAAAAACAGACATATATGTTATATAAAATAATAATCAATGTGTTTTTTGAACTTATCTAAGTATAAACGAACTAAATGGCATATTTTGTGTTAAGTAAAATACGCATATGTTGTAACAAAAAATATTATAGTACTGTACTTCAATTAATTGTTGTAATTCTAAGAGCTTTCAGGATGAGTTAATTTCTTCTACAATGTAGTAAAAAAAATATACATCTAGTAAAAGAGGCCGATACATTTTTCTGCAAAATAAATTTTTTTATACAGTACGATAAAATTTCAGTATTTTATTTACTCTATCTCAATCTCAAAGAAATGAAATTTCAAGAAAAAATTATTTCATAGAACTTTCTGCACATGACAACATCATGACATGTACTGAATGTAAGAGCTGAGATCAGTAAGCTTGTTTGCAAAGCATGTTGTCTTTCCATAAAAGCGTCATTGAAGGGTATTCATCGTGGCATGCAAGCTTCAGTATTTCGGTCCATGAGACACATTGTTGTTATAACACTGTACTTTTTATATAGGTACTTGTTTGCAACTTCCTTTTTTTATCAAATGTCTATTTTTGAAATTTAAAATAAGTAGTTACAAATATTAAAAGAATTAGTCATTATGCTTGTGCAAAAATCCTTTCACAAATCTGAATATTTCCGAGAAGATACGACAGAGGAAGTTTATGGCTAGAAATAGCTCACTAAATAAATTGGACAGGCATATACTAGTTATTTGCTATCATCCCATTTTTAGAAATAGAAGACTAGTTGAATTAGCAGTATTGTGCACAATTTTGTAGGGATTTTTATTATTGGAGTATCCCAGATTCCTTAATTAAAGTATTTATATTTGATAAAATAAAGAATTTTGCATCACTTTTTTATACTTGTAGAGAAAGATAACTTATTCATCAGTAATGGTATATGCTGGTATATACCACCGTATACCATAAAATATATTGATATAAACATATCTTATTTTTCATGAACCTGAAGAATACCAATGAACTGGCAACAAACTTCTGCACAATTTTGCTAATTTAACCAATCATGTCCCTATAAAAGAAAGTTATACAACAGTTTCTTTTTTTTATGTTAATTATTATTAAATACATTGTCACGGCACAGAAATAATTAACTAAATTATTGTAAATCATAAGGAATAGATACATTTATCTTCCAGTTTTCATATATTATATAACTATAGAAACTTACAGGCATATAAAACAACATAATTAATCTAAAAGTGTATGCTAATAGCGTTACTGCAGAATGAATTTTATATGCTTCTTTTTGCATTCTTCTTTCTTCCTGTATGACGAATTTTGTACATGTCTGACAATACGCCTCGTACGCAGAAAGCCTTATTTTTATAAGTTGCGCAGTTATTAAAATATTTGTAGAGGAAATTTAAATAGTCCTGAATATGAAATGTATATGTAAAAATTAATTCAAATTTACAGTATATCAACTATATTAGCCACTATTTTTAAAAGATCATAGTATTTTTGTTTAATTTTGAAGAATATAAAATCAGTTCTAATGGGGTGTTTGCCGCCTATGTAGATATTAACCGAAAATGAAATAATATTAGAAAAAACTCGTGCTGTATTGATTAATTTTTGTTATCAAATTTAACTGGAAATTAAAAAATATGCATAAAACTAAAACTTTAACTTTCATTGTAGTGATATTCAGTGATAAAACACTACACATTTTTTTATGCAAACACCCCATTAATCATGTAAAATAGTTTTTATTCAATAAAAATAAATTAAACTTCAACAGTAAGAACTGCTTTACATAACACTTATTTAATAGTCTTCAAAAATACTTTTTTGTATATGTGCAGAATTCGTTAATTAAATGAAGTCTTAAATTTCTAAAACATCTGAAAATGGCAAAAATAAAACATATCTAATCTGCAGGATTATTTTTGCTTTAAAGTGATATTAGAAAAAATTTAAAAATAACATATGAATGCACTTTGTTCACCAACAACTTATATGTTTCAATTATAATATCTTCTTTATAGATTACCAGAGCTGGGTAATTCCTGGTGAAAAAGTAATTAGCAATTACAATTCCTTTTTTTTTCCTGTGATTGTAATTGTATTTAAGTACTTTTTTTTATTAAAGTAATTTGGAATTGTAATTGCAGCAAAATTGTTATAGGAATTGTAATTTGTAATTATATTATTTGAACTATCGAATTACAAATTACTTCTATAAGTACAAATACTTTTCCAATTACAATTACTTTTTCTAATAATTATAATTACTTTTAAGATCATGCGTATTGCGTAATTGCGTACAGACTTGCAGACTTCTATTATTTCATTTGAGGAAAGCCTTGTGCCGCGTGAACAATATAAAAAGTGATTTGGTGAATTAACCTCAGAATTAACAGCACATTTTATTTTATTATAATTATTATTAATTTAGAAAATATACGAAGTAAAAATATTTTGTCTATAGCATCAAGTTTTATAAAAATATATATTATGTATCTATGTGTTACTGCTCTTATTTTGAGTTGAGAAAACTTCTGGTTCGGTTACTCAGCCTTTCACTCGTACTTGTTCGATTCGTAATTTTTTTAATAATAATTATTGCTTTCCAGTCTACCCAAAACTACTGTATTCTATATTTTGCAAATGTACTAACAACCAAAAAAAAGAGCATCGGGTTGAATTAATTACCTGACCAATAATATAAAATTATAGTACGAACTGAACTAGTTTAAATTATTAAATTAGGAATAAAAATATAAAAATTCTATATCAGAAAATGAATAAGAATAATCTTTTCATTTTAGTATCA